AAAAGAGGCCAAATGCCATTATTTTGTTTGGATTCACTTCACATACCGGGGAGGAGAGTTCTCAAAACCTCAAGTTTTTTCAGTAAATACTCTTAGCTAATAGAACTACAAAACTTCTACCAACAAACGCTTGTTTTTAAACCCCTTTTCTATTTCAGGTATGAACGACTAAGTCATCCTTCATTTCATAAAATAAAAGGCATACCAAAAATCACACATTTATCATATGATGACTCAGCATACTGTCGGTCGGGAATCACATACCATACGTATGCCCCAGTAGTGGCCCTAGTGAAATGGACATCCATCCATGCATGCAGCAGCGATAGGTAGGCAGAGGCCAGAGCTACAGCTTATTCAGTCACAAACAGCATCTCCAAATCTCTCTTCTGCTCTTTTTTTTCTTTTTTTTTTCTTTCTTGAAAAATAAAAAAATTACAAAAGGCGAATGCTTTGTTTGACATTTTGTCTCTTTCTCAGACGTGTCAATTTGTTAGACGACCCCTCATTATAAAAAAATATATAAATTTAAAGAGCTTGTCACATTTACATTATATTATTAAACCCAACTTAATAAGTTAATTAATTTTAAAATACGTAGCCTTTGCTTAAAGATTATTCCCCTCTATCCAGACTCGCACACCATCAGACATTCGAGACTATTTAAAATCATAAAACCCACACTGAAATTAAGCAGCGTCATTTAACTAACCCGAATGATTAAAGTTGTAATTAGACACATGATTAAGACACCAATCTCTTGTCGGGCGGGAAAAAGATAAAGTTGTCTTAAAACAAATCAATCGTAATTAATTAAAATTAGAGTAATGTCAAAGAATTGAAGAAGTAAAGGGGACAAGGACAACAATGCGTGGTGAATAATGTTCATCACGATGTTTGGTTTTTTTTTTATTTTTTTCTGTTTGTTTTTTTTATCCCGCAAAATCTAAATCTAGTTGCATTTCACCAACCGATTCATTTGGCGGTGTCCCCACTTGGGTCGGCAACAAAATATCGGCTGCTGATTTCGTTCGTGTATCTTTTGCAGTTTTTGTGTTACACAACACATTGAAAACTTAGGATGTTTTTTTAATGTTTATGCTGCATTTGATTTTGAGCGTCGGTGGCTAGTGGAGGTTGAGAGGAAGCCGCCACGAAAGTGAAGTATGTCATAGATCCACGCAGTAATGGGCTTTCCCCTCATGGCATTGAATTGTAACCATGAAATTATGAACCTTTTCGATTGTTTTTGGATTTGCATGAATATATGAAGGGACAATGAATTTGGTAGACTTGTGGTCCACAAGCTCAAATGATAAATTCCGAATTGTTTTCTCTTACAGTAAAACCGAGTGGTATGTTATGTTGTCCGATTATAAATAGAGATTGTTGATTAGATGATTTTTTTTTAAATGTGTGATTTTAATTTATAATATAGTATTAACGGGTGGTATTACGGATAAATTATAATGTGTGCAATCATCTAGATATAAACGCTAAACCTATAACATTCGCGTGATGTTACCTCTACACTCAATATTTTCTCCATACTAATCTATATAACACACTAGTTTTTTTATTTATTAAGATAATACAACTCCTGTTACACCAGAAAAAGAAATGATATAAAACGAAAAGAAAAAGAATAAAAAGTTGTGACCTAGTGGCGGGAACTCGTGCACAATTATAATAGAAAGGAAAAAGAGTAGTGCCGGTAGTTTGAAGGAAAGAGAAGGAGATAGACCATGCGAAGCATCTTTGAGAGGAGCTAACCATTGGGACATGCTTTAGTGCTCGACAAAATATTGAGACTTTTAATTAGGTCAAAAGGAGACTCGGTCTAATCAATTGGTGGGATCATCATCACTTAAATTAGCTATAGCTTTATCATCACTTAATTTCTTAAATGGTTGGAGGTCTTTTCTCCAGTTGACAACTTGACATCACATAGGTCAAAGCCACATGTTAGCCAATACATGGCATACACGAAGACGTGTTAAGGGCATTTGTTCACTCTCGTTTCGATAATTTCAACCTTGTTCGCATACGTAGGAGTGAAGCTATTCACAAGCCTGAAGTGACCTGGGTCCCCTTCCATCTTCTCATCTCCGTTACTATAGAGAAAGTATATGCATATACTACAAAAAAAATCCCATAATTTTAAGCTTGTGGCCCCAAAACATCAAACTCTCCTTCCCCACTGCGCATAGGTAACCGTTGATGACAAATTAGGCATATATATATATATATATATGTATGTGCACCTAAAACTCTCGAGGTATCAATAAAATGCAGCCACATATTTTGAATCAATTAAGATATATTGGGACTAATCATGGAATTGAAGGGATTTAAATGAGAGGAGGGTGGAACTAATTGTTGCCTTTTTGACAAGTCTATAGGAAAGTTCCGTACAGAAGTCAGCTGCAGGTTGGGTACGGGACCCGGACAACTGTAATGGACAGGATCAACACGTACCATGCTAGCTACCATATCACTGTTGAATGAATGTATCAAAATCTAAAGAGATACGCCCATTTATTGAGACACCTGGTTATGGATAGCTCGAATATATATATAGGAGTATGTTTCATGGAATAATTTTCACTCCTCAAATTGTCTCAAGAAAATAATTGTCATGTTGTGAATTAGAACTATTATAGTTGATTAGGCAAATATATCCAAATATACAATCTAGAAATATAGCACATTAGATACATCACACATGACAAGAAGACATCGTTCACGTTCACAAATAACAACTAGTGAGATCGATATGGTAAAAGTATATGTGAATTATATAACATATCAGATATTTAACAAGAGGGGGTGTTACTCATAATCAATATATACACGTATCTCAAAATGTAAGCGGTGGAAATGCAGTAAATGATTGATCTAGCGAAGGGTAAGATATTCGGCATTAAATGTCGGTACAACCGTACAAGAAGAAGCTGGTTGAGAAGGAAAATCAAAGAATCATAGCAACACTCACATGTTATCAGGGCCTACAAAGGATTTGATCGATTTTCATGGCTTATAAGCATCACAGGATCATCCCACAGCCAGTTCACTATAGTCTCTCTCTAGAGATCTGAATGAATTGTTTTGTAGGGCATGTACCAGTGTACGTAGTACTTGATTGAAAATGAAAATAAATGCATGGGGAGGGCAGGCCACTCTATATTTAGGGTTAGGGCTCCACCCGATATGACAGTCTATCTATATATGATTAATTGGGTGCAAATTGAAGTCCTAGGAGAAGATCACAGGATCCATCCATCCATGTCCATCCTCACCCAAAAACAAGAAAACAAACAAATATCTTTTTGCATTCAGCACAATTAGAAAAGGAAAATGCTTTGAGGGAGTGGTTAATTTGATGTAATGTTTAAAAGTGGTGTTGGGTTTAGGAGAATTTGAAACTTTGAAAACGACTCTAAGAAAAAGAGTGAAAATTTGAATGAAACATGGCGCTTTAGAAAGACTGGCTAGTATTTCCATAAGTAAAGGGAGACAATGAGAAAGAAAGGGGATGAGGTTTCAATTTAAAGCATTATTTATTTATTATTGTGAGTAGCCTAAGGTTTTTTTTAAGGGAGATTCACTATTATACCTGATATAGGGGCTAATAAATTACAAAACTGTTATCGATTTCTTAAAACAAGTCTAACCCCAAAACCTCATTAAAAAAAACCCAAAATACTCAATAGCCATAAAAAGTAATTTAATAATCAAAATTAAATTCAATAAGGCGAGTTGTCATTTTTTGAGTTTTTTTATATAGAAATTAAACGATGTAGAATTTATCTAATTTTAATGCTAAGAATAGACATATGACTAAATATCTATCTTTTTTTTTTATCGGTCAAGTGCTTCCCATTCCTTCCATAAATATTTGAACCCAATAAGATATTCTATATGTTTTCGATATGCCAGAGAGGTAAGGTACCACGGACACACTTCGGTGCAATATGATAAGATTATATTTATTGGGGTTCAATCATTTAGCTTCTTTCCTTATTCTTATTGAAATTTTTAAGCAGTAGTAGGTGACATTCATTAAAGTATGTGGCTATGGAGTAAATCAAACATTTTACTGACTTATTAAAATTGTGAACATAAGCTGCTTTACGTTATCTGTATTATAAACCTTAAACCAAATCCTAAATTTTTTTATGCAATGATAAACCCTAATCGAAATCGTAAAATTACCACCCTCATAATACCAATAAAAGAAACACAAGTCGAATAAGTCATTAGATCGGGCCAATTGACGAGAGTAGGAGAGAAAGAGAGTTAATTAGGCTCGACTAAAGGTTCAATTCCCTTTCATTGTAACAAAAGATTTAGAATGATGACGGTAAATCTTTTTAAGTCTTCTTTTAGAATTCACTGATTATGTACGTCAAATTTGAATGTAAGAGGCCGTTGGTTTTTTTTTTCTGTTTATTTTTTTTTTGGGTTATATGCAAAAAGGAGGTCCTTACGTCACTGTAATTATGAAAGGTCAGAAGCCTTAAAAGTATAGAAATGTAGAGAATAATCTTTTACCTTCCAAAGGGTCGATCCGTTCGACTCCTAGACTGTCCCTTTAGTCAACTACCTCTTCAAAAAACGCCAAAACAGCAAAAGCCCAAGAATATTTTCTACCATACACCAAATCCATACAAACTCTTTTTTTTTTTCAAAGAATTGTGGCGGTAACATAGCTCCCTCCAACAAGCCACAACACAACAGCATCTTTTATTTTCCTAAATAATAAAAATTAAATTTTTTTAAAAAAAATATATAAAAAAAACTTGGTCGTATGGTAGTGGCAACCTAAGAATGTTCCAAGATGGTCACAAAAACATTCGATTAATAAATTAAAACAAAAAAATGTGCCAAAAAAAAAAAAAAAAATTTAAAGAAAAACTTAATATCAGTCTCTCACGCTCACCCCATCCCCTTCAAATTCTCACCCCTATAAAAGACCTCCTAGTGGCTAGCTACTCCCTACCCATCTTCATCCACTACTACTCCCTTTACCTAAATCTTCAGTACGTACGGTGGTCTTTTTTGCATTAAAGCTCCAAAAATGGCGGCTCTGTCCACATCCTCCCCCATGCTCAACGTTGACTCAAACTCTCCCGACGTTGACAAGCTCTCCTACGAAATCTTCTCCATTCTCGAAAACAACTTCCTCTTCGGCTACAACAACAACGGCAGCAGCGGCGCCAACGAAAACCCAACAGCCCAAAACCTCCTCTCCGACCCCAAACCCACCAATCTCTCCACTCCCCTCCATCACATGCATTCTAGCAAACACTTCACAGGCAAGGTCCGCGTCCTCGCCATTGACGCCGCCGGGGCCACCGACGGCCTCCTCGCCGCCAACTCCCTCGCCCATCTCGAGTCATCTCTCCGCCGCAAGTCCGGCAATCCCAACGCCGCCATCTCCGACTTCTTCGATGTCGTTTCCGGGTCGGGCTCCGGCGGTATTCTCGCCGCTCTCCTCTTCACCCGGGGGTCTAAGGACGGGTCGACCCGACCCATGTTCACCGCTCAGGAGGCCCTCAACTTCCTCCTCGACAACCGCCGCAGGATCTTCAGGTCGTCGCCGGGGGGGATTTTCCGGCGGGTTTTCCGGCAGACGAGGGCGGAGAAGGAGAGGGAGAAGCTCTTCCGCAAGACGTTCGGCGACCAGCTGAGCCTCAAGGACACGCTGAAGTCGGTGCTGATTCCGTGCTACGACATGTCGTCCCGCGCGCCTTTCTTGTTTTCGCGGGCGGACGCGGTGGAGATGGACGGCTACGATTTCAAGATGAAGGACGTGTGCGCCGCCACGTCGGCGCAGCGGGCAGTGGAGGTGAGGTCGGTGGACGGGAGGACGAAGATCATGGCCGTCGATGGGGGGATCGCGATGAACAATCCGACGGCTGCGGCAATTACTCACGTGCTGAATAATAAGCAGGAGTTTCCGTTCTGCAATGGGGTTGAGGATCTGTTGGTTGTGTCTCTCGGAAATGGAGAGTCAGAGCTCGGAAATTTGTCCCCTTCTGGCTGCCTCAAAATCGCCGGTGAAGGAGCTTCCGACTTGGTAAGAATTCTGATTATTTTTATTTTAGGATGCTTAATTATTATGAGATTAAATGAATTTTACTCGACTAATTGAGAAATTCACTAGTAAAAAAAACAAAATTAATATGGTTTATGATTTGCTAATTTAATATGGTTTTCTAAGGAAAAAAAATTTGATTTGGTTCATGATTCTTGTACTATATGTATGGTGGTTGGGGTGGCATGATAAAAGTGCCACCTAATTATTAATATAGAAAAAAAGAGAGGCCCTTTTGTGCAATATTTTTAATTTGGTGCTCAATTAATTCTATTTTCTTTTTATGAGTAGGTCAGCTAACTAATCATTTTTTTTCCCTTCTTCTGTAATTAAAGGTTGATCAAGCTGTTTCCATGGCGTTTGGACAATCTCGCGCAGGCAATTATGTCCGCGTGCAAGCCAACGGCATCATATCGAAAATGCATGGAGGTCTGCAAGCCTCAAACAAGAACAAGAACAAGAACAAGAAGATAGACATGTTGGCCTTGACAGAGGAAATGTTGGCACAGAAAAATGTGGAGGCCGTGCTATTCAAAGGCAAGAAAATGGTGGAGAGCACAAATGTGGAGAAGCTTGAGATGTTTGCTGGGGAGCTGATTAAGGAAGAAGAGAGGAGAAAAACTTGCTTCTTGCCAACTGTGGTTTTGAAGCAGACTTGTTCAACATCGCCTAGCAGAACATCATCTGCCACAACCCTATCAACCATGTCATCTTCATGTTAAATTAATTAGTCTTAATTACTACCTTAAGCATTCGCAGCCGGTCGGGATGATTGAGATTAAGCATCCGAGTCTGAGCTGAGCTGCTGAGTTTGAGAATTTGGGGTTTAAGTTTTTTTTTGCTAGCTGATGATCATAAAGTGTATATTTATGGTAGAAGGGGGTTTGCAATGTGTATACGAGTTAAGTATGAAGGCAAGGCAAGTAGTGGCAAAGTGTAATCAATTGAAGATTGGAGTTTTTCTATATTATAATATAATATATATACATTTAATTTGGAATTGGACTTAGCTTCCTTTTGGTTTTGGTTGAGGGCTGGGGCTACATGTCAGAGATTTGAATATGTAATAGCAGTTGTTGGATGCATATTCTACTCATTCATGGAAACCCCATCACCTCTCACTTTAGATTTTAAATGTGTTTAGGGAATCAAGTTAGTTCAATTGAAGCCTTGATGGGCAGTTTGACTTAAAGAGAACCATAAATTTTGGAAAAAATAAAAAGAAAAGAAGTAAACAAATATATTTCCATAATTTGGGCTACAAAAACACTATAGCGAATTGTATATTAGTGGTTCCGGTCTTTGTTTAGGGCTGGTGTTGTGGTGGTGTCGCAACTTGTGCCGGTTTTGGATGTTATTTTGTTCATTGGAGGAGGAGGGATTCGAACACATAACGTTAGGTACACATATATCTATTCTTAACTACTTAGGCTAAAAATTCATTATGAATTAATGTTTTAGATGTTCTTTTATGCTTTATTACAAGTAGTACTAGTATATGCGGACATGGTGTTACAGTCACATGGAACAATTTCTTCATATATCGGATCTTTTCTTTTTTGTGTGTGTTTGTTGGTTTGGATTGGGGGATTGGGCTGCATATTCTGTTTTGCTGGCCCAATCTCAATTAAACATAGTTTGTTGGGCCTCTTATATTCCTTTAGCTTTTGGGTTTCGTTCAGTGCTTTTGATTTAAAAAATGAAAACTAAATCTGGACTGACTTGAAAGAACCCGAATTAGGTCGGTTCGGAGAATCAAGGAATTTACGCCGACATTACTCTCCAGTCGATATAAATTCCACAAACTTTAAAAGAAACATAAGAGTTACAGAAGAGGTGGCAAGGAGAGAGGCCTCTGTGGGTACGCAATGTCACCTGCGGATGGTGATGTCTCAGAAAGCCTCTCTGATATTGACGATGCAGAGGTAGGCAGATAATTATATATATATAGTTGATGAATGGTAGATGCTCAAATTCCTCAATGATGATTTGAATTTAATCTACATATCAATGCTCTTGGAATTTCCTTTCATGGTTATTGTGAAAAGTTTTGTTCTTGGTTCTTGACAATCAACCACATTTTCTATGTTTTAAAATAAAGGGTAAAAATTAATGAAAGACAAAGGCAGTGATCCTGAAAAGGAAAGTTACCCCCTGCCCATGATCCATCAGCTTTCTTCAAGATCACTTCCATCATAGCCACTTGGTATATGGTGCTTGGTCTAGACTTATCTGTAAAGTGCTGTCTTTGATTTGGATTTGTATATGATTGTTGCTTCAATTTTTTATTTTTGGAATTTTGACATGGAAGGCATGATGCTTATGGTTTGTAGGTTGTTGGCTACCTTAACAGCAAGCAGGCGGCACTGTTTAAAAGAATGATTTGGGAAGCAATGAACAAGGACTATGATAAGGTAATGCCGTTGGAAATCCATAAATTTTATCATATGTGTGTTCACAAGGATTCGGTGCAATGCTAGGGGCTTTCTTAGCTTCTGTTTGTTCCATGGTTTCTTCTTATTTGTTGTCTATATTTTTGGCTTTTGAGTTTTTAGCTTGAAAATTATTGAGGTTATGTAGTTAATCATGATTATCATGCATTATTTGCCTCTTCATTCTCCTTAGCTCTGTGATTGTGCGGGAATTCTTCACTTTTAAAACTGACCTCTTTTCTTGTATTTGAGTTTATGTTTGCTGCATGTCATATGTGCGTTGTGATCTGAAGCATAGGCTTGGAAGTCTCATCCAGCTTAGAGTTCTTGCCTAGTTCTAAGCTGTTATTGGAGTCACACACTGCATAACTGTGTTGAAAGTTTTCACTTCAATCTTATTTGCTTTTGACTTATTTTTTGTTCTTTTGACCATCTGTGTATGTTTTACTGCCAGCATTGAGTCTTATGTATTGATCTCTATATGCAACTATAAAATTGGCAGGGTAAGAGTAGAAAACGAGTCAGAAAGGCCAAGAAAACTGCTACTGCTCCTGCTAAAAAGCCAGAAAGGGCTGTCAAAATTTCTACTGTGATGGATACTAAGAATGTAAGTTAATAAACTAGTTTATGGGATTTTTGGTGCTTAAATTTTCGTGCAATGTTGATTTTCCTGCTTATAATTTATTTAACAGATACTAATGTGACATTTTGTTCTTGCAGAGGCTGAGTTCAAAAATCAACTATGAAGCTTTGGATAAATTAAATGAAGAGCTTGTAAGCATCTTTTATATGTCTTATTTTAGAATCAATTTTGCTTTATTCATGCTTTGCAAATCCCATATTATGTTCTGTCAACATCCAAGGTCTCGTTAACTGATGCAGAGACTACAAGTGACTAAAAGCCAATCAAATCTAATGGCACATTTAATTTCGATTGTCAAATGATGTTACTTGTTCAATATATTTTTTGTTTTCTTAATGTCTGGTTAGTGGGCAGACACCAAATTGCTGTTTAATGGAATACAGGTATATACAAGTGTCACAAACCATGGCAAGATAGAACTTAATACGTAAAAGAATGATCAATTGTGCAGGTTGTTTACTTATTGGGCAATTAATGGGAGACTTAAAAAAATAGGAAAATCTTTCATCTTTTTACATGGTTAATAGTTTTTTTGCCATGCAATGTAGTTCCTAGTTAGAAATCCTGGTAGGTTTTAGAGAATAGAGGTGTCTTTCTGCGAGTAATTGCTAGAACCTTTTCTAATTTTTTTCCCCATGTGTAAAATCAGGGTTATGCACCTGCATTCGAAGAAGGCACAAAGTCTAATTGTGGCAGTCATGGTGATATGCAACTGTCAAATGAGAAGAACAGTTTTGAAGGCAGCCATGATGATGATTTTGAGCATGAAAGTAATGGATACAGTGAAGAGGCTGAAGCCAGACAAGGCCATGATGATGATACATATGTTGCAAATGACGAATATAATGGATGCAACTATGATGACGAATACAAGTACGACGAGGAATGCGATTTTGACGAATTATGACTCAAATAGTCAATTCTTTTTTCATGATTCAGTTGTATCATGTTACAATCAAAAGGTTAAGCAATTAAAACTTCTGGTTTTTTTATTTATAACTTTTTTGAATTGGTATCTGTTTGAGGAGCGATGCAATTGAGCATGGCTTGCATGTCAAACTATGTGAACTATAACCATGAGCACAAATTTGTAAATTGAAACACTGAATGGTTGGTTCCAAGCTGTTCACAGTTTATTTAGTGTAGAGAGAAGCACCAGTTTGACAACAATATTTCCCCAACATTGACGACACCAAAAGACATATCAATATTATATACAAGTCTGATGAAAATTTGATCATTGGTTTGTATCTCAAACTGTAAATTTATATAATTCACTTAAATTTATTCAATGTTGAAAAAAATCTTTACATAGGAACACAGACTGAATTGTCTCGGTTCCAACTTCCAAGCTATTTAGATTTTGCTAGCGAGAGCAAGGTACTTGGTATGACGGTCCTGAGCATTGTCTTCTTCTTCCTTAACACTGGCAACACCAACAGCCTTCTAAACTCGTAAAGCCTTGGCCTCAATCTCAACTTCCTCACCAGGGTAAGCACATGCATGAAATTGCCTCCTTTCAGTAAATGAGGGGGTACTTTGAAGGAGCAAACAATACGACCGGGTTCAAGGAGATCAACTTTAATGCCTTTCATAATAAAGGACTCAAAGAACTTGTCTGGCAGCCCGTCCATTGTCATTGCCATTTCACCTTTTTTCTCCAAGAACTTCTTCACTGACTCCATACTTGTTTCCTCATTTCTCTAGAAGCCTTAGCCATCAGAGAAACAACAGATAAAAAGAGTCATATTCAACATCAAGGGTCCTAATACCCTTAGCCCAAGCCTTTTGCAAACATCTAAGGAGACTCCATAACTCAGCCTCTGAAGGAAACATGCATTTGAATTTAAACTCATGGATTTTGAAATTACTTGTAGGATGACAAAAAATGCCTAGAGGGGGTGAATAGGCTAATTTAAAATTATAATTAATAAATAAAAATAAACTTTAGTAGCAGGATTGATATGACTTATCAATCCTGGAAATATACAGAGCATAAAATAAAGGAATATGTAGAAAATTATTTTAGTGGTACAACCTCACCTTTGGGGAAAATCCACGGGAATCCTCAGTCCAAAACAAATCCACTATAGAACGATGATTACAAGAAGTACTCACACACTTATCCTATATACATTTTAGATAATGTTTACTGACTTTTTCATAACTCAACTTCCGTCACAGGATGTTCTTTCGACACTCCTTATGTTGAACGCAATACTGGTCACGATTGCTTTAAGCTTGTCGGAGTTCTTCCAACTCCCCTTATGTTGAATATGATACTAGTCACGATCGATTCAAGCTCACCAGAGAAAAACAGCCATCACGGTCTTGGTGCCCTTGTAACATCCCGACCCAAATTTAAAGGATTCAATACTTTAATTAATTTAATAAATTATGGAATTACAATTTTTCCCTCGGGATGTAGGGTCATTTTGGTCACTTTTTGATTCGGAAAGATTTTGGAGAAGTGAGTGGCACCATTGCGTAGAGCTCGTCGATATGAGTTCGTAGACATGCAGCATGCCCAATTCCGAGATGTAACGAAGGAGAAAAAGTTTGAAAACGAAAAGGACACAAAGGTAATTTTAAAATTTATTAGTGTAGCAAACAGTACCGCTACAGTAACCGGGCAGTTTTAAATTTAGGCTAACGACAAAAGACACCATACTGGTTTAGGGTCATTCTCGAATTGGACCCCATAGTATCAAGTTTATCAATTTACGCCCTGACGTTCTAAACATCGTCCAATTTAATCCTTCCGTTAAGTTGACTAGACGGTCAATCGTTCACTGCTGACGCGGCAGTAGTGGGACCCACCCCACTAGCGATTTGACCATTCCTCTCATGCCATCTGAAGGGCAGTTTCGGGATTCTACAATTTTTTTTATTTTTTTTATTTTTATAAAAAAAACCTGAACATCGCGCCCAAAATTGGGTACACTTTGCAAGAAGACGACTGAAGTAAAAGCCCCAAACTGTCGTTCGTCCTCAACCTCAATTTAACCTAAATCCTAAATCTCCATAGTTGACAGCAAGTTCTACGATTTCGAAGAAGTGAGAAGAAATGATTTGGGATTTCAGGGCTCCAGGCGCTCCGCATCCATCGTACGGTAAGTTGGTTTAAATTTTTGCGATTTGGGATATCTGTGTTGAATGGGTTAGAGGTCGTATGGGTTATTCTGGTTTGAATGTTGTGTTTGATAGGGTTTAGTGGAATAGTGGGAGAAGTGTCTGCTATTAATAATGCAAAAGTGTTAGGTGGAAGGGTGTGAAAAAGGTTGTTTAATAAAAATTTGGACTTTTGTATAATGGTCCTAAACTGAAAATAATTAAAAAGTCAGTTATGATTTTTGTGTAATGTTTGAATATTGTGTTTTGTGTTGTGTTTTATGTTTGAACTGAAAATAACCCATGTTTGGGACATGTAATATGTAGGTGATCCTGAATTGTTTTTTATTCGAATGTATCATAGTGGTCAAATTTGTGGTAACTGTTACGCTTCTGGCAGTGTAGCTTGGTTTGATTATTGTGATAAGGATAGAATGTCAATGACTGAGATAGACAATATGGTGAAGGAGTTAGGCTATGATGGGGTGATTTGTTACTGGTATAGTATCCCTATCTATAGCAATGGTGGCCTAACAAAGCTTAATGATGATCAAGATGTCATAGACATGCTTGTATTTGTACCAGAGACAAGGCTAATAGACATTTTCCTACATCATGGGGTTGATAGTAATGAGGGTTGGTTTTATAGTCAATCAAGATCAAATATGTTTGTTGATGTAGAAGCTGATATTGTGCCTAACAGAGGAGTTGTGATTGAGGAGCTTGATGACAATTATGGGGCTATTGTTCCTGTTGGTGGGAAATGCAAACAATGGAGGCAACAAAAAAAAAAAACTAGTGTGGTGATAGAAGAGCTCAATGAAGACCTAAATGGGAAACAAAGTGGTGGGGGTACGCAAAAGCCAAGGGAATCTTGTGCAAGACAGGGTATTTCTGAAAAAGGCAAAGAAAAGGTAGTAGAGAGGGAATCTTCTGCTGTGCAAAAAGACAAAGAAAGTGCTGTTGAGAGGGAATCTGCTGCCACTGTACAGAAAGGGAAAAGTAAAGTCAGTTCTGTTATTGGGAAAATGAGGGCAAAAGCTTTTGGTAAAAGGAGGTGCAAAATGTAAAAAAGACACGTGATAAAGAAGACCAAAGGTCTAATATAGTGGCTGATGGACTAGTTCAGAAAGAGGTTGTTGAAGGAAGTGTAGAAAAGAGCAACTTATCAAGATGTCATCCAATGAAGACAAGAAAAGCAAGAACAAGGACCACTGTCTGTCACGATGAGGAGGAGTTAGCAAACAGTCTTGACTTTGATTTTGCAGACCCTAACTTCAGTTGTGATGATAATGATGATGATGATGTCAATTTTGATGAATAGGTGGACAAACAAACTGAGTGGGTTGGAGATGGGGCAAAAGGAAAAGAGCCATAGTTAACAAATGTTGGGGTTGAATCTTGGGATTAAGTTGCAGATGTTGAACTGGATTCAGAGGAGTATGATTATGACAATGTGCAACCTAAATATGACTCTGATGATGACACTCCAATGACGGATAGATTGCTAGAGTTCAATCCGGCAACTGACATGGCAGATCTAGAGTTTGAGGTTAGGATGAAGTTTAGCGATTGTAAAGTTTTTAGAGCGGCTATGAGAGAACAATTTATAAAGAGGAATATGGATGTTGTATTTGTGAGAAGTGAGGCTTTCAAGCTAAAGGAAGTTTGTGTAGATCCAGATTGCCCATGGAAGATATATGCTTGCAAAATACAGCATGAGAAGACCCTGCTGGTTAAGAAATATGAAGGTGAACACATTTGTGGTATTGTTTGGGAGAACCCCATTGTGAAGTCTAGTTGGCTCAGTGCCAAATATATGGAAACATTGAAGAGCAATCCAAGTTGGTTAGTTAGCTCATTCATGGAGACTATGAAGAAGGATTATAACACTGGACTTTCTAGGCAACAAGTTTATAGGGCAAAAGAGAGAGCATTGAGGTAGATTGGGAGAATATACACAAGCAATACTCCAGAATTTGGGATTATTGTGAAGAGTTAAGGAAGACCAATCCAGGAACAACAACCAAAGTTCAATGTGATTTCAATGAACAATTGGGTCATCCAGTGTTTCAAAGGTTATATATGTGCCTAGGTGCATGTAAAGCAGGGTTCATTGCTGGATGCAGACCCATTATTGGATTGGATGACTGCTTCTTGAAGGATGTGGTGTATATGAAGGGCAATTTTTAGTAGCAGTTGGTATACAGTGGCGGATCTGTGCAGGCGCAAGGAGGTGCACCTGCACCTCCGGTCGTCGGAAAAGCCCATTAGAGCAGCTGGAGTTGCACCTCTGCTTCAGAAAAGAGATGCACGCAACGTGTTCGACGAAATGCCCAAACCACCTGGGCTGGGCGCTGCATCTGCTGTGCGCTGCCCGCAGCGCGCGCGCTTGTTTTTTTTTAAACATCCCCTGGCCAAAACGACGTCGTTTTGGACCAGGGTTTAAAAAAACATTAAGGAAACTGCTGCTGCTGCTGGGCCATTCTATTGGGCTTTCGAATTTGTATTATTCCTTACTTAATTGGGTTTTCAATTTCTATAATTCCTTACTTAATTGGGTTTTAAGTGGGAGTTATCTTTATTCAATTGGGTTCAGGGAATTCCTTATTTAATTGGGATTGGAATTCTCTTTATAAATGACCAATTTAACATTACCCAATTTCATCTAAGTGTGTGTGCATCATAAGAATCATACGTTTTTTTTTTCTTCTTCTTGAGTATGCGAATCCAAAGTAAGTCAAATGCATTTTTTTTTTCTTAAGCAAACACCAATTTTGTTTATTCTTTATTCTTATTTTTTTAATAAATTTATTTTTTTCTTATTTAGCTCTCTCTGTATTAGTAAGATCACTCGAGAAGGAAGAGGCTACTAGACACGCTATTCAAGGTATAATTAATTTTTATTTGTTTATTTAATTGATAATTTGATATTGATTTGTTTTTTTAATTGATAAATTATAGTTTTTGTTTTGTTTTGTTTTTTTTTTTTGAGCTTTTAGCTTTTGAAAATTGCACCTCTGTTGGAAAATTCCTGGGTCCGCCACTGATTGTATGGATGCTGCATTGAAGGAACCCAGCGCATTTTGGTTTATGAGCATCTTGATAACAAGAGCCTTGATCAGGCACTTTTTGGTAGGTTTTATAGAAACAGAATACCCTGCAGTTTCAAGGACTCTAAAAGTTCATCCAAGTTTTTTACGCAACCATTTTGTTATAATTTTTCTCTGCTTAGTGAAGTTTAAAGAAACCAAAAGACTAATATTCGAATCATATGAAATTAAAAATCTGCACATTCTTTTGCTACTTTGCCTTCTCTTTTGCATAAAAATAGAATACTCTGCAGTTTAAAGTACTCTAGGTTACATCCAATTTCTTTTTCTTTTTCTCTTGTTATAAGTTGCTAACATGCATTGGTTCTTTTCCATGTAATGTTTCAGGAAGAAATGACTTGCACCTTGACTGGCCTACCCGCTTCAATATATTGTTGGGAACAGCAAGAGGACTTGCTTACCTTCATGAGGAGTCAAAGCCCAGGTTTGTACATCGAGATGTCAAAACCAGTAATATTTTGCTAGATGCAGAACTCTCCCCAAAAATATCAGATTTTGGATGGGCAAAGCTTTATGACGACGAGAAAACACACATGAGCACCCGGGTTGCAGGCACGATGTAAGCCCTCACTTAAGTTATACATTGTTAATCATTACTAGGGAGGGTGCAATCCAAGCAACATTTTTAGTAAGCATTTGATAATCTTGTAGAGGCTATTTGGCGCCGGAGTATGCAATGCGAGGACATCTGACAGAAAAGGCTGATGTTTTCGGTTTCGGGGTTGTTGCTTTGGAGATCCTCAGCGGGAGACCAAATTCTGACAACAACTTGGATCCTGAGAAGATTTATCTTCTTGAATGGGTAGGAAAACTTAGCCTAGCTACTTTTATTTTAGCATTGCCGTGAAAATTTCTTTGTTTTTTTCCTTTTTGACCATGCCATGATGTTTGTTTTCAGGCATGGACTCTACATGAAAAGGACCAGAGTCTGGGGCTGGTGGATCCGAGATTGACGAAGTTTGATGAAAGTGACGCAACTAGATTGATAAAAGCAGCTCTCCTCTGCACTCAGGCTTCACCGATGATGAGGCCATCGATGTCACGTGTGGTGGCAATGCTTTCTGGAGATATTGAAGCAAGCACTGTTATGTCAAAGCCAAGTTATTTGACAGATTGGGATTTCAAAGATGTAACCACAAGTAGCTTTTTGGTGGATGGTGATACCTCATCAACTGAGACAACCCTATCAACCATGTCATCTTCATGTTAAGCATTCACAGCAGGTTGGGATGTATGAATTCCTTTGTACTTTTAAATTCCATCATTTGCTTTATTATTACTTAGCATATGTCTACATGGTGTTACAAAAATCACAAAAATCATAACATATGACATGTCACGGTGTTACTGTTACATCGAATACCTTTCTTAGGTTTTTTAGGTTTTGGACATAAAAAAATTTTCACTTTTGGAAAAAGCCAAAACTTTTTCAAAAAAGACAAAAAAATCACTCAACTTTCAAATCAAAGACATGCAAATGTATTGGATTCCTTAGGAAATCTAAAAATAAAAGAGGGCATTTTTGTCCATTTTTGCTTCTTTTAAAATTTTTCTCTCTCCTTTTGTTTTTTTCAAAATGTCCCTAATTTCTTCTTATACTGGTATTTTTTTGTTTGTTGATTTGGATTATGAGATTGGGCTGTATGTTTGTTGGGCATCTTGTATTCCTTTAGCTTTTGGGCTTTGTTCAGTGAACAGAAACCGAAATCAAACTTACATCTTTGATTTTTTTTTATTTTTTTTTATTTTTATATAATAATGAAAACTACATCTGGACTAACATGAATTGAACAGAGGAATATATAGTATTTGGGTTCGACTGTTCCAAATTTCACCCATTTTATCCCATGAACTATAACACTAATCGAACTTAATCCCCCCAAACTATATTTTGAGCCCATTGGGTGTGTTGGAGAAGGTGACTTTTGGAGGACCATTTGAGGGCTGATGTGTTCCCGATTTTTGGGGAATATCTATTTTTGATGGAAGATCAGTGGGTTTCTATATGCAACAATGCTGACATGTGTGGTGGTGGTGTATCCCCTCCTTTGTGGCCACTATGGTGCGGTCTCTGTCCCCTTTGAGATTGACTGTGGCTTTGTATTGTAATTTGGTTTGATTTTGTGACATGGAAGACTATTATACTATACTGTACTGGTTTTAATATCTTCCCTGTGTTTGTGGTAATTTTTTCCTTTAGTTGGCCTTTTTGACTTCTATATTCGCTGTTTGTTTCCTCCCCATTTATGGGGTTTTGAATGAACATGATTGATTACGACAAATATATATATATATTTTGATCCATTTAGCACCTGAACTAATTTATATTGCCAATTTCAGACCTACCCTTAGATTTAAGTCAATTTAATCCAAATTGCTATTAAAAATGACACATGAGGCCCACGTGTAACCTAATTTGAGGCCAATTTGGTCCTTCTAACCTTTTCCCTCTCAAAACCCATCGTCCCCCTTTGCCTGAAAACTTGAAAAGCAAACTAGAAAAAGAAAATGAAGTCTGCAGCCCAAAAATATAAAATATGCAGAGAAATCAAGTTCTCCATTTGGTAACTCTATCTGTACCAAAATACTCCGACTATTTGTGATTATTTTGTATATCAAAACCAGCTATGCTTGGTTGATGTGAAAACGGAAGAAAACTAATCCCCAATTAAACAAAACAAAGTGCAGTTGTGTGCCCTTTGATTTATGTTTGTTTTTGCTTTATGAAAAACTTAAAACACCCATCTCAGTAATACCAAATTCTAATAATGTTCAGAACTACAACTTTCTCAACAGCCAAATAGATTCTTAACATTATTTTGGATAGAATAGTTATGTAAGTTTTGAATTTTCTTTTTATTTGGGAAATGGGTTCAATTTCCTCCATATGTTTTGCAGTTTGAGCGGGTCAGC